GATACTAGCCCTTAATGTCTTGCTACTGTTGTACTGTTTCTGACACTTGCATGAAAATTAAGTAAGAATAACTAGACATTTCATCAACGAAAATCCTTCTTGGAGACAAAATATATTTAACTGTGGCATCCGAGATATTATCAGAGATGTGATGTTGTCAGCGGTTTAATGGAAATATTACATAATTTAAGTTATGGTAAAGTTTAAAATTTCCCTTTAGCAGTTGTCCTTTAACATCTGTTCTTTCAGTGAGACATATTTAAATGGGTGACGGTTCGGATGCAAAGCTGTAGCCATTCTTTTAGTTAATTAAACTCAAGTCCCATTGTTTTTAAAAAGATCGTAGAAATTTAGATACTTTCTTCAAATGTTTTGTACTTTCGGACGGAGAAAGAAGCTTAACCAATACAACTGTTAAGACTCTTTGCAAAACAAAGCTCTTCAACGTTTAGGTCGACTGGGTGAAGAGCGAAAGATATCCATCGAACACTTTCATAAAACTGATCATATACAAATTGGGACACCAGTGAAGATATCGTTGACAATGACGTCCTAAGCCTTTCAGTAAATCCATCACTGGGTTGAAACACTCGATTTCACTATGCAAATGTTCAGTCGTAACCTTGGTGCCTGTCCCAATGTAATAGTGTCAATTTTCGCCTGTCCCACTCCTTCCGGGTGGGGGTGAGGTATCGGTTCATTGTTCTAGTGGGTGGGAGACGGTATAAGAAAATTATAGATTACTTGTCAACAATGGTTAGAACTTTGTCCACCATGATTTTCACACAGGGCAACTCGGTTTAATTCCAAAAATACCTAAATACAATGTATTTATCTTACCAACAAGGGAATTACTCATCCTGGCTTGCAGAACAAACGTGTGAAGGTTACTTCCCATACCCTCCCTAAACCAATCTACCCACCACACCATACACCACCCACCCCCACCCTAAATAAAAAAAAAACAAAACACACACACACACACAGATAAACATTTTATTTTAAATAGCTGGAGATTAAATCACAAAGCAATCATTAAAAGACAATTATCGATTGACCTATACCTCTCAAAAAGAACAATCCTGGGTTTGTCCATGGTGTAATTTTACTACTATTATATGTCAAGTGCTATAATGTATCACCTGCCTCATGTGACTAGACTGTATGATGCGAGAGGTTTTGCAATCAAAATACCCGCGTATCATGTTCAACACTGTGATAGTCGAGGTACATGAGGACACTTAATGTACAACCTACATTGGACTAACCTCGAAATCTGCATATATGAGTAACATTCATGCTTAGATTTTGGTTCGATTTCAGGTGGCATACATGCTTGCCGGACACACTTACGACCGTTATAAATGTCACTTTGTCCGCCTGCTTTCCGCGATATATAAAATAAGAAATTAGTGGGTGGGGTCGTGGTGGAGCCGAGTTGGGTGGCGTGAGGTCTATGTAATAAGTGTAAAAGCCACCTGCTAATAAGACAAGCACGTCTGAACATTTTCTTCTTGTGGTATGTTGTATGTGGTATGCCTTATCTTATTGCAAAAAATTATGGGTTCATATTTTTCTGTACTATTACTTTCTATTTTCTTGCAATACTGATATATGTTAGAGAGAGAGAGAGAGAGAGAGAGAGAGAGAGAGAGAGAGAGAGAGAGAGAGAGAGAGAGAGAGAGAGAGAGAGAGAGAGAGAATTACAGGAAAAGAAAAAAATAATCCCATTTCAGTCATAAATTTTGCAATGCATCTAAAATTGTAAATATGCCTTTATGAACCAGGTACACGACGATGATTCAGGTTTGCATGATTTATTTGTTATAGATACACGCTCTGATCGACGTGAATGTTATCATTGCCGACCTTAAAACAGCACACTATTTACATAACCGTACAGAATTGGCATGCGGATTAAAGCTCCTGTCTCGTTAATCCTTAAATCTGCGATCAAGATTTACCAATATTGGTACCGTTGCTCAGATCATGTATCCAAACATTCATTAAATTCGGTCAGGTGACCTGGGTTTTGTTCTTTGAGAAACTATATTGTTGCAGCCGATACTTGATACATGCGAAAGCAAACAAGGACACAATAGGAACGCAACTATGTGTTAAGAACCATAAACGTTTGCTTTTGTTTCAATGTTTGGTCAATACGAAATAATCTCCCAGAGAGCTGAAAGTGAACATAGAGAGGAAACCTTTTCATATGAAGCCCGGTTGCTACGAAGTAAATGAGTGGTGCGGTTGTTGATCGTCAATAATTTCAGGTAAAGAGTTATTGCTTTGATTTATGGTAAAATATACAACTTTGGATTTCTGTTTAAAGACTGTAACCAAACAATTCTTGTGGATATGTCAGACAATTTTGTCATGATATTGTCATGATTACGTACGAGACACAGTCGCATATGTTTAAAATATGAAGTAGGTAAATATCTCTCTCTCTCTCTCTCTCTATCTCTCTCTCTCTCTCTCTCTCTCTCTCTCTCTCTCTCTCTCTCTCTCTCTCTCTCTCTCTCTCTCTCTCTCTCTCTCTCTCTCTCTCTCTCTCTCTCTCTCTCTCTCTCTCTCTCTCTCGTACACCCATACGTACGTACATACAAACCTGCATACATACATAAATTGTCAAACCTGGACGTAATGGTCATTCAGTTTGTTCTCAACGTGGTCGTTATGAACAATTGATTTTTTTAAGAGATCACCAGGATTTAGATGCATACATACATAGACATACATACCGTCAAATCCGTGCGTAACGGTCACTCAGCTCGTTATGAAAGTGGCCCTTATGAACAGGTGATTTGATGATCTCTCTCTCTCTCTCTCTCTCTCTCTCTCTCTCTCTCTCTCTCTCCACACACACACACACACACACACACACACACACACAGTCACATGTGTGTGTTTTGTGCAAAATAGGAAAATATAGGACTGGATTTTTTTATTCACAAGTAGTCCTAATATACAGATGTCACTATAGCAGCCTCGACCACACACACACACACACACACACACACACACACACACACACACACACACACACACACACACACACACACACACGCAAAACAGCATTTTGTGGATGGAAACATTTAAAAATTCCTGAATTCCGGTTAACAAATAGCCACCTATCTACATATCAACATCATCTCTATCTCTCTATCCTCCAAACTGTCGGATTTTCTAACTGTACAACAGTCTATTTCTGTGTCCGTCCATCTTTTCATCTCTCCATGTACAATTCTTATTTCTGTCGTCTGCTTCTCAGTCACATGGTTAAATCTTCATGCGTTTTTTATTGTGCTTCATATATTCAGAATCTGCATTTTTAATAACCCCTGGCGCAGGACATAATCCTGTACATAATCAAAATTACAATATACCAGAACTTACAATTATAATATATCTAGTAAATAAATGGCTTAAATGCATATACAACAGCAAGCGAAGAAACGTAGAAAGGTTATTTGAGTATACGGTGATCTCTGTATCTTGATAAATATAATAACGATTTTAAACGGCTATCGATTGGATGATGATGTAAATGCTGATACCTATCTAGCATCATGAAGGTAACCAATTTGTTTGTTACTAGCTTAACTGCATCCAGGAAGACTCCCAGGGAGAGTCAGCGACCCACAGGAAGCTAATGACAAGCTTTCTTACACACCCATATTGGCCTAGCCGAGACTCGAACATACGTGGACAGAGGTGAAATGTAAGTGGTCTGTAAAGGCGATCACCTCAGACCACTTGGTCACCCTTTTGATGCCCTTAGTGCAGATTTTAACATGTTCACTTAAAGCAACAAAGACGTGAACACTTGTTTACTCGTAAAACTCTCCTGTGTGCAATATTTGTATTCTTGAATGTTGAATTACCTTTTAACACTATAACAGTAAATTATGTTTAAAAGAATTTTTAACGAGAAATAGAATGACGTTTTAAAGGGGAAATAACTCCATGCCATGCGACGAAATGAAATAAATGTTTGTATCATACATATATACATTTTTATGTCATCACGAACCTTTAAATGTGATGAGGAAACTATTGAAATTTGTTTGCGAACAAATTTCGCAGTAAAATATGTTGAAAGGGTGTATGCATTGTGGAGCATTTCTCGTCCTTTAAGTACAATCAATGCCAATCATTTCAGTCGTGAGACAGTATGCAAAGACCTACTGTCATTTACTGCATGATGAACAAAGGATTAAAATATTTACTAAGTTCTACACACTTATTTCTAACTTTAAAAAATCCACTATATATTAGAAAATATAAGTAATTGTGTAAAACTTCAATTCGTCTTTTGCAGTTAGAAAATGCCGACGAACCTCATTCATTGTAGATTGTCTGCCCAGAGATAACAAACATCGCATGTTTCGTATTGGTTAGATGTTTGAATATACACAAAAGATTATCTAATTTTGGTACGTATGGTATCCTAATTATAGTGTGATCTTTTGAATAATACATACGTTAAAGGTCAAATGTGTGCAAATACACCGTAGAATTAAAGATCTAAGTAGTATTAAGTTATATTACAGCGAAAATAGATAAGTTGATTAAAGCCAAAATTATGGTACCCGTCTATCTATTCGTAGGTGTCCATTCCTATTTAGATTAAGGTCACTGTGTATACAGGGTAAGTACGAAACCGGTCATCCATACATCTGAAAAGCTGTTATCAATGGCAAGTTTGAACAAATGCCGACTTCCACGCTTGATCTTGAACTGGTTACCACGAATAACAGATATGGATATCAGTCAATCTTGAAATTGAGATCTGTGTGATTTAGAATTTCAACGTAGCTTTAACAATGTTTCAGTCACGTCGCTACGATGTTTGCATTGTGGCAGTTTATAGTGATGTCTAGCACTGGTACATCATGCCGCATACATTTAGCATGACACCAGGCCGACCAATCCTAATACTAACCTCATAATGCTGAGCGCCAAGCGAGGCAGCTGTTAGTACCACTTTTGTAAGTCTTTGGTATGACTCGGCCGGAGCGAACCCACGACCTCCCGCGTCCGAGGCGGACGCTTTAACCACTAGGCCACCGGAGCGGTAATCTTTAAATTAAAGTGCATACATATTAATATAATTTTTTTTAAACCAGACCCTAAAAATATGCTAATGGGTAAGTAAATTACCCTACAGGATCATAATATATGTTTTGAAGAACAATTAGTGTCAATTAATAACTAGAGTGGCCAAAATTATCTTTCAGAGGTATTTATTTTGATTGGGAAAGTGCACAGTAATAAGTTTGTCATTTTTTCCCCTAATATATCTTGGGGCTTCCTGAATTGCAACGAAACTCACAATGACGCTTGCAACGACACTTGCAATGAAATTTGCAATGAAATACAACGACACCTACAATGAAGCTTGTTCATTTGATTTAGCTGAGATGCTTTGTTTTCTCGTTAGATGCCACTTTCCGATGTGATGAAAAAAATAACACTACTGTAAAAATTGTGGTGCCGAAAATTTAAGTGACTAGAAGATTATATATAAATTAAACTTCTTATGCAACACCTGATAGAGTATTTGACTTTGGTAAAGCAACTTTCAAGCTCAAATCTGACAGGGTAGTAGTGTTTTGTTGCTTTGTTTTCGCGTTAGATGCCACTTTCCGATGTGATGAAAAAATGAAAGTACCGTAAATTTGTGGTGCCGAAAATTTAAGTGACTGAAAGATTATATATAAATTAAACTTTTTATGCAAGACATGATAGAGTATTTGACTTTGGTAAAGCAACATTCATGCGCAAGTATGACAAGGTAGTAGTGTTTATTGAGCCACAAGTCTTATTCACTTCTAACAGTGATGGTGTTTGTTGAGCCATTCTTATGCAAATCTGATAGCATTAGTGTTTGTTGAGCCATTCTTATGTAAATCTGACAGTGTTGGTGTTTGTTGAGCCATTTTTATGCAAATCTGACAGTATTGGTTTTGTTGAGCCATTCTTATGCAAATCTGACAGTATTGGTTTTGTTGAGCCATTTTTATGCAAATCTGACAGTATTGGTTTTGTTGAGCCATTCTTATGCAAATCTGACAGTCTTGGCGTTTGTTAAGCCATTCTTATGCAAATCTGACAGTATTGGTTTTGTTGAGCCATTGTTATGCAAATCTGACAGTATTGGCTTTGTTGAGCCATTCTTGTGCAAATCTGACAGTATTGGCGTTTGTTGAGCCATTCTTATGCAAATCTGACAGTATTAGCTTTGTTGAGCCATTCTTATGCAAATCTGACAGTATTGGTGCTTGTTGAGCCATTCTTATGCAAATCTGACAGTATTGGTTTTGTTGAGCCATTTTTATGCAAATCTGACAGTGTTGGTGTTTGTTGAGCCATTCTTATGCAAATCTGACAGTGTTAGTGTTTGTTGAGCCATTCTAATGCAAATCTGACAGTATTGGTGTTTGTTGAGCCATTCTTATGCAAATCTGACAGTATTGGTGTTTTTGAGCCATTTTTATGCAAATCTGACAGTATTGGTGCTTGTTGAGCCATTCTTATCCAACTCTGACATTGTTGGTGGTTTTTTTAAGATTTCTTCTTATGCAAAATCTGACATGGTATTTGTGTTTGTTAGGCCACTCTTCCTATGCAAAATTTGACAAGGTATTTTTTGTTGAGCCATTCTTCCTAAATGGCCGAGTGGTCTAAAGCGCTCTCCGTTACAAATCACTGCCATCTCACCTCTGTCTGCATTGGTTCAAGTCTAAGATGTATGTTCATATATATCGTAGACTATCCCCAGTCATGTAAATTGCAGATCATCTTCTTATGCAACTTTTGTGTTTGTTAGGCCATTCTTCCCTAGTGACCGAGTGGTCTAAAGCGCTCTCAGTTACGGATCATTGCCGTCTCACCTCTATCTGCGTGGGTTCGAGTCTAAGATTCGGCAAATGTAGATATGTGAGAAAGCTTGCCAATAGCTTCTTGTGGGTCGGTGGTTCTTTCCGCGGATTTCCTGGTTTCTTCCTCCACCATTAATATTGACGACCATGTATCGTGTGCTGAAAAAATGGCGCCAATCCCCAGAACAGCAACAACAACTAGCCGATCATGCACAAGAAATACCAAACGTTCGTGGATCGTGGAGACCATCCACTGTGGCATATTGTAGATGAATCAGTCATGTATGTTGGAGACAAGCCACAGATGCATATCGTACTGGAGTCAGTCATGCATATTGTAGACGAACCAATCAACCATTTTGGAGACCAGCCACTCATGTACACTGTAGACAAGCCACTCCTATACTGTGGAGACTGGCCCTTTAAGTGCAATATACAGAAGCATACGCACGTTCATACTGTAGATGGGTCACCCGTATACATTGTAGATCACAAATGCACATCATAGATCAGTCACCTGCGAAACCTGCAGACTTGATTGATTTGATTCTGATACTGTGATTTTGTTCAAAAAGCAGTGTGGTTTGAGCTTTAAAATTATAATGTATAATGTATAATTACTATTATAGGTGTGAAGTATTAATGGTATACCCGTTTACCACGGTATTTTCTTTTCTGGTGGTACGTACCACGGTACCTTCTCACTGTTCTAGTTTATCGGTCGGCCAGGTGTCAGAATAATGTGACTGGGTGGGACATGATGCTACATGTCTGAGCACGATGCCCCAGTGCTAGACATCACTATAAACTGCCACACTGCAGACATCGCAGCGATATGACTAAAATTGTTAAAGCTACATTAAAAACCTAGATCTCTCTCTCTCTCTCTCTCTCTCTCTCTCTCTCTCTCTCTCTCTCTCTCTCTCTCTCTCTCTCTCTCTCTCGCTCTCTCTCTCTCTCTCTCTCTCTCTCTCTCTCTCTCTCTCTCTCTCTCTCTCTCTCTCTCTCTCTCTCTCTCTCTCTCTCTCTCTCACACACACACACAGAGGAGGGGACCGAACTTGTTTTCTATCTGAACTTTACGTAATTTCTTAAGTTCGCTAAATGTCTTCTTGTTTCTTGTGTAGGTGTGATATAGGTTTCCTGGCCATCTCAGATAGATTTCGTGCATGGGTGTTGACTTCCCACTCAATGTTTCCCTGCCTACTATATCAATAGTGTAGTTAGAAAATCGCAGGCTTCCGCATCAACCTTTTCTAGTTTTACCAATAGGCTCCCCGATGTCATCACGATGTCTCTACAGTATTGACTATGGTGTAAGTTTAATTATTCCACTTTAGTCACAGATTTTAGACTGAAACTTATACAACAATTAATATACACAGTGCAAATTCACTGGCTAAAAGGTACTGACCATATAATTTTGGAGGGTGGGTGGGAGAACTGTAATTATCTTTAGAGCTGATTTTTTTATTATTTTATATTGAGATAATTATTATTGTTTTCTAGATTAAGATAATGGATATAATGTGGTGTTATTTTGATAGCCATCGAAATAACATAATTTTTACAGCTATTGACAGAGAAAGTTAAACAAAAATGTTTCAGTCCCCAGCCCCATAACATTGAATTGTTGGTTCCTAATATAATCGCAGTATACCGTGGTATGTATCTCGGTGCGTTAAGAAATATCGCATGTGTACCGTGATATGTATTGCGGTGCGTTAAGAAATATCGCGGTATACCGTGGAACATATTTTTTATGGCAACCAGCTCATTACGCAGTGTTTAAGTTGCAATTGCCCAATATGTAACATTTTCAGTGTGTTACAGTCTTATTTTTTATTGGGATGAAACAATATTGGATAAAATGAAACAAAAATATTTGATTAATATTAGTAAATATTGTTATCTAGTAATACCATATTTACACGCGTTTTCTTTTACGTTAGCATATTTAAGAGAAAAGATAATTATGATGCATTGATATTGTTTCAGTGCACACGTATGTATAAGGTATCCTGAAATTATAACATGTGACATAATTAAGGATATAAAGAAATTGTAAAAGTCGTAACTTATTCAAACGCAGGTATTACTGCTAAAGTAATATACATAAATAAAGAATAACGTATTTAAACAATAGTAATGATAAAAATATCATATAGATACGTGTGCATTGAAACAATACAAAATGCATTAAAAATGTTTTATGGAGTGTAAAAAAAAACAAACACACATAAAAGCTAATATTTTATTACCGAATACAGAAGTGACGTAGATTTATTAAATAGCTTTGTTTTTCTCTAGGAATGAACCACATAAAAGAAACGGGGGAGAGACTTCATTATATATGGCTGTATTTTGGTTAGGTCTTTAAATTCGTGGTTAGGGGACAGGACGAGAGCCACGAAAATGTACACCACGACAATTAGTGATACTACATTATTATCAAAAAAATATTAATGCATGTAAGCAAGTATGCTTTCAAAATGATTTTTTAAATTAAGTAATTGAAAAAAATGAACTAAGTAATTTTAAAACTGCTCCATTATCCATGTTTCATGGTTAGCCTATTGATCTCTCGCATAAATGTTTCAAAGGGATGGTGTATGCAGATGACGGAGCAGATTTAAACGCTTTACCGTTGATAGCTCAAAGACTTATCTATGTTTGATGCAAGATTCCTAATAGCCTTCCGTTGAAAGACGTTATATTGGTGATCTTATGTCATACAGAGAAAACCATTGATCGTATACATATCTACATTTCTGAAGAATTAATTACGCCTGGTGGATGATACATAAAGAAACCTTACGCATACAGCAAAGGAAAGAAACGATCAAGTCACATATATGCATGCATATATTCAAAACTAATATTTAGCAGTTCCTAAGACCATCAAGAAACAAAAGACAAACTTTTCTATTGTTCAGAAGAAAATAAATAAATAAATAAATAAATAAATAAATAAATAAATAAATAAATAAATTTTTAGGTACCAGGAAAAACAGAAACTTGACGGATATACGGGATGATGACGAGGTCATTAATTACAATCATGCACGGTGCACAAAGTTCTTTCCAATTCAGGCGGGATAAGGAAGGTACAAAGATCATATAATCAGACAAAAGCTTAAGACTGGGAATGTAGTATTGTGCATTGTCTTCGGACACTGCAGACCAC